CTTTTTTGCCCCACTGTATATATATATATATATATATATATATATATATATAAAATTGTCAAAATATAAAATTTTTATATTGTAAAATAAAGTTTTATATTGTCAAAATATAAAATTTTGACAATTTTGCATTTTCCTTCCTATCTGTCTTTGTCTTATTCTTACCTCTTGTTCAGATACTAGCAGATTGTTGTCTTTGCCTGCTAATTTTCCAGCCTGAATACGGGGAACTTTATTATCTGAGTGAAAAGCAAGACAGAAAATATTTTCTCTACATGTAAACTACGTAAAATATACCATATAAAAATATGCAAAATATACTATGTAAAATATAAAGTCCACTTCTGAATCGCAAACAAACAGTTGTCAAAGGAGTTCAATTACCTTTCTTGGCCACCTTTGGCTCCTCTTTTTTTGCTGCCTGACCTGCTGCTGGTTTCTCCTCTTTCTTAGGGTTGTCCTACACACAATAAAGTAAAATCTTGCTACAAACATTATTAAACAACTGTAAACCATTGTATTGTATCTCAAAAACAGAGACAGACTCTTTTCATGTCATAAAATGTATATTCAATATATAGGGAACAGCACTGCTCTACCTTCTTTTTGGTGGGGTTCTTTGTACTCTTGTTGAGGCGATCCAGTGAAGAGCTGCTGCGGACGGAAAGAGGCCGCTCATGTGAGTCTGCAAGACATTATCTAAATGAGAGGGTATATTATATGTTGATACCTATGCAACATATTAGTGTTCTAAGAATCTTTGATAGTTTTGCATCAACACCCTGGATTGTTCCATATGCAAAATACCATACTCAAAGACAAAGAGTTGTAAACTTTCCCTCCAAAAGTTTAGGTCACCATTGGCTCAGTGCCCCCCACCCCCACTCTTCACACCCTGGAAGAACGTGATTGCAATTCCAACATCACCAAACCTTCAAACCATCAAGACTTTTATCTGAGACTACATCCCGACGCTCGTTCAACGGCCAAGGCAATGCAAATATCGTACATTTAACTAAATGAAACAGAGGTTTAGTATAAGCTATAGACCCATTGTAAATCAGTGCTGATGGTTTCACTCAGGTGGTTTACTGACTAATTTTCCATAACTGCATTCTCTGGTTTCTAACGGTTTCATTTATTCAGTCTCATTTGCCCTTCCCCCATGTATGAGTGATTGTATGTTTGTTTGTTTAGACTAGTTGTGTATTAGTGTTTAGTCAATAAAACTTTTGTGCACATATTACGAGTTTCTGATTCTGTCACTGCTTGCTTGTAAATCAATGTCCTTTTAATGATTCCTGATCTTGTTACATGCTCTAGTGCAGGGGTCTCCAACCTTTTTGTGAGTGAGGGCTCCCTGAAGGTATAAAGAAGTCTCAAGGACTACTTGTTTGATATACTCCAATACACATACACATACATATATATATATGTATGCTGCACAACAGAACTGTATAAATTAGTAATAATAAAAAATTACTTGGTTGTATGATATTCCTTAAAGCATGGATGTTGGGTCAGACAAAGACTTTGTTGCTTTGTTGCTTTTTCCAATAAAGTCTTATTTTGACATCTGGAACTCTGCTTCTTGAACTTCATTTACTACATTGAGAAGACCATTGTGTGTTCCAAGACAGTGCAAGTATGTTTAAAATTGAAAATGACTCACATGCTGTCTTCTGCTATGAGTAAGTGGTAACTCTGCTCAGGGAGTGGATTGCCCTCCAAAACCACTTTCCTAGCAAGATATAAGTTGGTAGATGTTGTCTTCAGATTTTCCAGTATCAATTACCATAATTTATTTTCCAAATAGATCTTTTGTCTGTGGTGTAAAGCATAAACTAGCAGGCCTATAGCCCACTAGTGGATATGATGATAAGGCTTAAATAACATTCTGAGATTTAATAAAAAGTTTATAACACACTGAATGTCGGTCTTAATAACACTGACAAGAAATAATAAAGTCATTCTAGCTTTTGACTGCATGTTCTTACCTGAGATTTGAGCACAAAGACACTGTGTTTCTCATGGAGGTGAAAGTGTAATCCGTCAGGCCCACACGCCACATGCTGCAATGAATCACCATTACTGGGAAATTTACATATCATACTGTTCATTTGTAACATGGACACCCATAAGCATACATACAACACACACACTCAAAGTCTTACTGTAAGCACTGTAAGTTACTAAGGGACGGCAATATCCTGCTCAACACCTGAAGCACCACCTCATCCATCTTCCATCCTATCAACAAATTTTGCATATGATCAAATTGAACAACTTCACATAGAAAATAAATCATTGCAGACATCAGTTCAACAAGTTGACACTCTCACTTCTGAAAATGGAAAAATTAATGAAACTCTACTTGAAATACAAGCTAGGAGTATGCAAGATAATTTGATCTTCACTGGGATTCCTGAAAATACTTCTTCCAATGAACCAGAAGCACTCATCAAGCTTAAACTTGACAAAGAAACTGATGATTCGATCTCCTTCCATCGGGTGCATAGGGTCAGCAAATTTACCAGCAAAAGCCCTCGTTGCCACTTTAAGCACAAAGAGATCATAAAAAGCAAAGAAAAAGAGCTTAAAGGAGCTCAAACTTCGAGATTAATGATCAATTCCTAAGAGAAATCAACGAGCGCCGAAAGATGCTTTATCCAATACTGAAACAACAAAGACTGAAGAATAAACACGCATATTTAAGTGTGGATAAACTATTTATTGAGGCACAACTTTATCGTGATTCTTCGATAACTCCATGGCTGTATTAAAGGGGTCATATGATGCGATTTCAATTTTTTATTTCTCTTTGGAGTGTTACAAGCTCTTCGTGCATAAAGAAGATCTGTAAAGTTGCAAAGACTAAAGTCTCAAATCCAAAGAGATTTTCTTTATAAAAGTTAAGAGTCAGCCACGCCTACCTAAAACGGCTCGTTCTAACACGCCCCCACATGTCTATGTCAGGATGTGGGAAGATTTGCATAACGCCGCCCAAATGTTCACGCAAAGAAAGAATGCATAACTTTTATTCTCGCTGTAGTATTGTTGTTGCCGCCGCCGCCATGTCGTGAAGGTGCTGTTGTGAAAGCAAAACTACTTTGGTTGGCCTTCCAAAAGAGGACGATATCCGCTTCGTCATGCCTGGAGCTGATCCGTGCTGGTCGCTGAGGAAATACATCAACTTCGCGCTGTGGATCGTCGTATCGGCTTTCACCATGGACGAAGCAGAGTCCAGCCCGGAGTCGTCACATGTGGTTGCCGCAAGCCCGCCAGACACTCCTTCGTCGAATCTGGCGGCCGCACCGTTCTCAAGCCCGCACGCCTCTGCTCACTCAAGCCGGCCTCTGCTCACTCTAGGCCTCCGCTCAATCAAGGCCACGGTGTGTGACGCCGTTTCGTTGTGAAAGCGAAACTACTTTGTTTGGCCTTCCTAAAGAGGACACCGCTAGAAATCAGTGGTTAAGTTGTATTTACAACACTGTTCTGTTCTGACTGTAAGTATATTTTTTATATTTAAAGAATTTGCCACTAACGATTCAAACGTGAGTTTTTTGGGCAGTGTAGAGTAGCACTTGTTGTTTATCATTTCTCTGATCACAAATGCAGACATGGTTTTATGTTTACACGGTGCGATGCAACGCAACGCGTAAAAAGACAGTATAAGTCATTATAATCCGTAATTATGTCCCCACTGGATGCAATAAATGCCTTGTTTATAATGTGTTTTAATGTTTTTGTCTCGTCGCTCCGGCCGGACAGGGCATCACAATATGGTAGGGGCGTAACATTTCCGTCACACGCTTGAGGTATTCGGCCAATCACAACGCACTGGATAGCTGGTCAATCACAGCACACTTCGCTTTTTCAGACCGATGAGCTTTGTAAAAATTGACGCGTTTCAGAAAGGCGGGGCATAGAGGAGAAACAATAATGTACAGTATGTGGAAAATAATGTGTTTTTTAACCTTAAACCGCATAAACACATTTCATTACACTAAATACACAAAATAATGTTCTTTTTAGCAGCATCATATGACCCCTTTAAGATTTTTGTGTAGCTTTATTATTAATGTGTGAGCAATAATATTGCCTCATTCAAAGGGTAACAGTTAAAAAAGAAAAAAAGGAAAAAAAAAGGGGGGGAGGGGGAATTCAAAGCTATATATTGCCCCTGCTTATTGTTGTGGTTGGTGGTTTATGAATTCTTTTTTTTTGGTATTTGTAAACATGTTGCCGTTTTGCTTAAGGAATTGTATATGGGAAATCTGTTGCTATAGTGTAAATTTGAACGTAGTTAACCCAGTGTTAATTAGCCTCAGAGATGATTTAATAATATTCTTATATTTAATTATTCGTATTATGATATGATTAAGAAATTTATGGTGATTTAAAGCTAATCATGTAATATGCACACACTTAATTTTGTTTCTTGGAATGTTCGGGGTTTTCCCATGCAGAAAAAGAGACTGAAAATTTTGAATTATTTAATGAAATTAGGTTCGGCTGTTGTTTGCTGCAAGAAACTCATATCTCCCATTCTGATGAACAGTTGAATAATATACTTACTGATGCAGAAGGTAGATCTATTATAATTCCGTATAAATTAACAATAGTAAACATTTTATTATAAACTGTTTACTATTGTTAATTTATACGGCCCCAATAAAGATGATCCTGAATTTTTTCATCTACTTTTTTTACAGATTTCTACCTTATCAGGTAATTCAATTTTATTGGTTGGTGGTGATTTCAATGTAGTTTTAAATTCAGTTTTAGATTGATCTAATAAGGTGATTAATAGAGAACATTCACAATCGGCTGCTATAATAAAGCAATACATGGAGGATTTGGGCCTTGGAGACTGTTCGAGAATTAAAAACAAGACAGCAAAGTAATATTGTTTTTTCTTTTCTGTTCACAAGTCATTTTCACGAATTGATTTTGTTGTTGTTGAGTAATTCTAGTATTCAGAATATCATTAATGTTCAAATTCATCCTATAATAATTAGTGATCATGCACCTATATCATTACAGTCAAAAGTTGATAGTTTTAACATAAAAAGTCCATCTGTATGGCGTTTTAATATTTCATTATTGGAGGATCCCGATTTTGATACCTTTATAAGGAAAGAATGGGACATTTTTCTTAAAGATAATGATACCCCTTATATTTCATCATCTGTATTATGGGAAACCTGGAAAGCAGTAATTAGGGGGAAAATTCTTTCATATTCATCCCATAAGAAAAAACAAGAAAGTAATTTAGGACATAATTTAGAGGAAAAATATAAAAAATTAATAGACATATATACTAAAATTCCGGATCAAAGCTTATGGGAACAAATGCAAAAAATTAAATTTTTGATTGAGAATATCATGTTAAAGAAAGTCAAATTTATGATGCAACAAATTTATGATTATTACTACTATTAATGATTCTGTGGGTAATTGTAAACAATCGCCAGAAGAAATAAATGAGGTTTTCCAAAAAAATTTCCATGAATTATATTCTTCAATAAATGATCCAAAATCAAAAGATATTGAATTATTTTTAAATAAATAAATTCTTCCAAGTTTAACAAAAAAACAAGCTGATCATTTAGATATGCCTATAACTTTATCAGAGTTGCATAATGCATTGATGATAATAAAGCTCCAGGGCCAGATGGGTTTCCCGCAGAATGTTTAAAACATTTTTGGGACATAAAGGCTCCATTGTTTTGCAGAATGGTTTGAGAAATAAAGATAGCTTTAATAAGATTATTATTGAAACCTGATAAAGATCCAACTTTGCCTTCAAGTTATCGTTCACTATCCTTGATAAATACTGATATTAAGATAATTTCTAAAGCTGTTGCATTTCGCTTGGAATCAACAATTCCTACAATTATACATAAAGATCGAACTGGATTCATTAAAGGTCGCCATTCTTCAAGTAATTTAAGAAGAGTTCTCAATATAATTGATATATCACAGCGTAATCAAAGCCACTGGCAGTTCGCCAAAATGTAAATATTCAAGGCATATCGGCAACATAGAACATAAAATAAATTTGTATGCAGATGATATATTGTTGTATCTTCGAGATTCATCTAATTCCTTATATATCATCATATTCACAGATTTCTGATAATACCAAATTGGACAAAATCTACAATACTTCCAGTTACAGTAAATTCATGGAATCCTTCATCTCAACCCCTACTCTCATTAAATGTTAGAGGTAATATTAAATACTTGGGTGTAATTATTTCTTCAAATCTTTCAGAAATTGTTCATTTAAATTTCTCTCCGATATTAACAAAAATTACTAATGTTTAAAACGCTGGAATACTTTGCCTCTTTCTTTAATAGGGCAAATAGCAACCCTCAAAATGAAAATCCTCCCTCAGATTAATTATTTATTTTCAATGATTCCATTTGAGCCTTCTTCTAAATGGTTCCAATCAATTTGAACCATTTTTGAACTAAATGATTCAAAACTCAATTATATCTGGTTTTTATTGGAAAGATAAGAAAGTTAGAATTAGTCTATCTATTTTGCAAAAAAATTAATTACATTATATAGCAAACCAGTTACAATTTCTTACTAAGTGGATACACATTCATTCAGATAATGATGCTTGGATGGATTTGGAACAATATGATTGTAATGAAATTAAATTAAGTGATATACATTTTATTGGAACATTGATTAAACAACATAATTGTTTTAAAAATAAACTAATTTCTTCTACTTTCAAGTCTTGGTGGAAAATTAAAAATATAACTAAATCTTCAATGGATCCATGTATACATTCTCCAATTTCTATTTTAACAAAAAAACGTATTTCTCCAAATTGAGTCAATGCGGCATAACTCATCTTCATCATTTTCTGATAGTAAGTTTATCTCCTTCAAAAATTTTACATCTAATTATGCTATTCTTTAAGGAGAATGTATTCATTATTTACTAGGGGTGTGACGAGATCTCGTGGCACCTCCTACTGGCATTTGTCAGACCTTTCAGACATATTTGCATTACACTGGCTCATTCACCAGTAGTGGTATGTAAGATATTTTATGTTCACCTGCGAATACAATATGCTTAATGTTACCTGCGGTTAACAGGATGCTCCAGTGTTTAACTAATCACCTATCTACCTATCTGAAAGATCGGGCTAGAGCTGCTTCCTGAAGAAAGTTAATCATTCTCACGTGTTTTAAGCCTTGTCAGTTTAAACATTAAAGTGTTTTAAGCCATTCAAGCTTGAGAAAGCGCGAAAGAGATTTCAGTGCGGTACTCGCGCTGTGATAAACTGTTTCTGTGCGCACCCACGCAAAAAGCCCATATGCGAGAGACACACTGTTAGAAAACACTCTGTCTAGAGAATGTTCCAGATGTCTCAGTCTTCTATATACAACGCATTCTCTCTGAATCCCCCCTTCTGTATCCATCTCTCTCTCTTGATATTATGTTTTAAATATGTCTTACTTATATGCGAGGTATGCATGCTTAAATGTATACATTAGCTTCTCTTGGTTCAAATGTCCCAAATAAGGACATGATAGCTAGGAATGAGGTTCGTGATGAAACTCTGATGACAGTTCAGCATTCTTCGCAAAAGTCTATTCCTAATATGTCCATGTTTTTCTGTACATGTGGCCATTTTATATAAACACATGTTCTTGGCCAAAGATCCTACGTGTATGTTATTCATATCCTCATTGGTTAAGAGGATGAAACTCCCCTCGACATATGCCTATATAATATCTGTATTTCTATGAATAAATTGAAGTATTGAGGATACATTTGACTGTGTTTTCTTACTTCCCGGCCGTCTACACTTTAAGTAACTGAGAATTCTTCAAGGTGGCAAAGAGAATTTACTGAGGGACCAAATTGTTATTCTTTATTAACACACACCATTTTGGTATTTGTGAATCATATGTATATTCATCATCTGCTTTATGTACATGGCACCGGCAGTATTTTCACAAACGTGTGACTTGCATGCTTAGAGCAGAACCATGCATCGTTCATTTATATCTCTACATGGCTTCCTGCAATACAACTGATTCTTCAATCGCGCCATCTAGTGGTCTGTTATTGATACAACCACAACTGCTACAACTGATAACGAAGCGCTCAAGTGGGTACTGCGAGTCATTTTGAGGTAATTAAAATATGTCAAATTAATATATTGCGTTCAAATTAATATTATTGCGTTTACTTATCAGGCAAGTGGCCGCTTGCCAGATAAGTAAACGTTGATGTACCTACCTACTGAAAAATGGGACTCTCAGAGATATCTCATTCCCAGGATTTTAATGTGTGGACACAAATTTGTAAAAACATGTTCTCTTTGATTAATAATTCTAACTTACAACTTATTCAATATAAGATTTTGCACAGACTGAGTACATATTACACAATACAGAAAACATAAAATAGGTTTCATGAATTCACCCGTCTGTGTCCAATGTAATCTCGGTACTGTAGATGCTTACCTCCACTCCTTATGGTATTGTAGTCCTGTGCAGAATTTTTGGTTGGGGGTTATAGAGAAATTACATATTGTACTTGGGATTGAATTACCAATGTCTCCTTCATTTTGTTTGTTAGGATTATTTTCGGAGACTGATGTTGCTCCACATTATGCAAAATTAGTCTACATTGCTCTTACTTTAGCTAAATAAACTATTCTCCAACATTGGAAAACTAAGCAGTCATTAAATATTAACCATAGGTTAAATTTATTATTAGAATCGGTGTTTCCCCTGCCATTATTTTAAGTTAAGTTAATTTTTATAATAACCTTTCTGGATTACAATCCGCCATCAAAATGATACATTTAATTATTCTGGCTGCTGTGAGAAAAGGCTATAAACGATCGGCCACTTGCAGGATCCTCACATGCGATAGCCTACTAGCCGGGACAACTTCTTTATGTTTACAGACGTGACGTAATGACGCAGTGCCATGCTCGAATTTCCCGCGAAAACCTACCCATACCACTCAAATTAGAAAACATTATTATAAACTAACCATTGTGAATCGGGCTAAAGTAAGGCGATAGTTTTGAACACTGGCTGGTTATGTACTTGTTCAAATATTGATTTCGGATCATTTCTAACCAAAAAAAAGTTATGGACTGCAGCTTTAAATCTGTAAAATGTGCATTGTATTGAGTATCTGGCATCATGTTTTTTGTTTTGTTCCCCCCCCCCCCCTCCATGTTGTGTATGTGTATATCACTATATGTTATTTTTTCATACACTGATGTAAAATGTGTTAAATAAAAATAAAATAAAATAAAAATAACAACAATAATAAACAAAGACATGTTGATATTAAACATTTCTTAGGAGTGTGAACAGCCACACCTTATTGTTTACGAAGAAGCAACAGCCTTACCAGATATTTTGACTTCTTTTACACTGCCATGGTCTTCGTTCTCCAGCTCTATCCGGAGGCAAGGCTTAGAGGACCATGTTGTCATTTTACTTTCTAAGGATGTCTGAAATTGATTGTCCTCTTCAGTCCGGGTTAGGGTTTTTATTAGGAAAAAAATTGAGTTTTTAATAAAAGAGACAAATAAATAGTATTAAGAATAAACCATATGGCAATATAAAAATATAATCCTTTAGTAGAGTAGACATTATAATGTACGTCTTATGTACAACAGTCAGTGGTGGACGAAGTACACAAATCAAGTACTTGAGTAAAAGTACAGATACGTATAATAAAATATTACTCCAGTAAAAGTACTCCTTTTTCAATTTTACTCGAGTGAAAGTACTCGATTTTTTTATCTACTTAAGTAAAAAAGTACTGATAGATAGATTTATTTAGCAATTTTATATAGGCTACTTAATTTATTTTTTATAAACCTACTGCTCAAAATACCTGGGATTTTCCCAAAATAACCACTATATGGAGTCAAGATATATTTTTGCTGTTGATATGGACTATGTTGACAAGAGTGCTGTAGTAATGTTCACTATGAAGCTTACACTGCGATGTACCTGAGAGAAAACAGATTTGACCATCTGATTTTCACCAGTAAGAGCAAAGTGTTTAAAAGCTTGTTGTTTTGCAGAACATCCCCGTTATATTTTATTTAATCTGTGTTATTTTAATGTTTTTTGACCTAAAACATAGAGACTCTGATGTTAATGTGTCTGCATTCAAGCATTTCAGTGGGCTTAAACAGATCACCCTTTACAGCAGATTTAGTTCACAAACAACTGACAGTTTTGACCTAAATATGATTTTCAGTTACAATAATTAATCCTAAAATTCGACATTAGTAACTTACTTTTAGCAGGATCAGTCGCACAGGCACGCTCACAAGATCTCCCGGTTCTTAGGCCCTGTCCCAAATGGCACCCTAAACCCTTGCGGTCTTCCTCTAAGTCAGCACTTTCGTGACGTAATGCCGCTTTGACTCTCGGGTAGAAGTCTGCTGCGGAGCTCGCCCCAGTGTGGGCTCTGCAGAAGTACGGATCGAGGGTGCATAATGGCCACAAAGGGGGCGCTCGCGAGCACCCTTCTGAACGCTAAAATGACAAATGGGACACCCTACGGTCTCGTGGACTTAACGGAGTGCACATGAGTGCACATGAATGCCTTGTCCAAATACACACACTTGTGGTCTTTGCACTTGACCACTTGACTACTTATATGACGTATTTCCTGTATTTGGACCAAGTGTTCAAGTGAGCATGAAGACCACAAGTGTGTGTACAACTTTTCATTACCTGATGGGACACACTTATAGTGTTGTAAAAATGTTTTAAATGTCTGTTCAGTAGTCCCTACAGATGACACAATTTAATTAAGTGATAAAAAGCAGTTGCAAATGTTGTACAAAAATAAATATACTAATCTTTGCAGCAATAAAATGTGTAGCACTTTGTTTTACCACCAAATTATATGTAATATCTTATTATTATTCATATTTAACTTACATTGGAAAGGTTTCCGTGACCTCTCGCTCGCTCTTGGCAAAAAGTCTCACGATTTATTTCCAGAACATGATGCATGATGGGATATACTAACCCTAGAATAGCGCTCCGGAGCGGTATTCGAGATAGTGTGGATTTAAGGCTGATTTATACTTCTGCGTCGGACCTACGCCGTAGCCTTTACGCCATAGGCTATGCGTCAGTTTTCATTTATACTTCTGCGTCGTTGTCTGCGTCAACATGCAGTACACATGCAAACCGCTAGTCAGCAGTGTCCACGGGCATGTTGCTGGTGTAACCCACAGTACCACGGCAAAAGCCGAAGAAGAAGCGGCTGTCAATATCAAATCATTAAATCATTATTTAAAACTACAAAAAGGAGACAACAACGGAACAGGAGATGATGGCATTCTTTCAGTCTGCACAAGGACTTGTACCACGGCAGATCAACATTGTTTGTTGCGGACAACTACTGATGTATAATGCTATGTAGTATAATAAATGATAAGACACTTGTTCTTTGCTTGGTTTTATTTTATATAAGAAGGTGTAACATTAAAATATATTAAAGTGCACATAAACACACACAAAACTCAAGTACATATGGAGGGAGGGGTCCTTGCAGACCAATCACAGCGCTTGCGGTCTGCGTAGAATTGACACGCTGTTAGATTTTTGGAGAGGTGCACGTCAGGCTACGGCGTATGGGTGTGTGTCTATGCGTAAGCTACGGTGTAGGTTCAAGGGCACCTTGTCCAAATACCCACACTTGCGGTCTTGGCCACTTCTTGAGAGCGTGTGCGCGCGACAGGAAGTAAGTGCGCAAGACTGTCCCAGGTCTTAAAAACACCAGAGCGCAGTGCCCTTAAAGCACACTAAACCCACACTATCTCGAATACCGCTCCGGAGCACTATTCGAGGCTTAGTGTATCCCATCATGCATCATGTTCTGGAAATAAATCGTGAGACTTTTTTGCCAAGATCTCGTGAGAGGTCACGGAAACCTTTCCAATGCAAGTTAAATATTAATATAATAATTAGATATTACATATAATTTGGTAGAAAAACACTGTTTTTACGTTTTATTGGTGCAAAGATGAGTAGTGGTGATATTTATTTTGTACAACATTTGCAACTGCTTTTTATCACTTAATTAGAAGCACCACAAATTAAAATTGTCATGTTATAGGGACTACTGAACAGACATTTAGAAGTTGATTTTAAAATGCAAAGTATTTAAAATTAAAATTAAAATAAAGCTATGTAAATACTTACATTTTTACAACACTACAAGTGTGTCCCATCAGGTAATGAAAAGTTTGACACACACTTGTGGTCTTCACACCCACTTGAAGACTTCGGCCAAATACAGGAAATACGTCATTTAAGTAATCAAGTGGTCAAAGTGCAAAGACTGCAAGTGTGGGTATTTGGACAAAGCCGGGGTATGTGTTCCATTTGGGACAGGGCCTTACTTGTGAATTCAGTTCACTGGAGACTCGCACTAAACGGTTCATTTGAATCAGTGAGTTGTCGACTCGAGAACAGCTGCAATCGGTTAATTCCAATTCGTGAATGAATCGTTTGGTGCGGTTTGAGAACCGATTTAAAAGGTTCATTGAAAAGAATCAGTTCGTTCTTGAGTCAGACACCGCTTCTGCGTGTCGGAGCACGTGATATATTATGAGTGAATTATGAAATGTAGTGAAGTAAAAAGTACGATCTTATGCTTTGGAATGTAGTGAGGTAAAAGTAAAAGTTACGCAAAATAAAACTACTCCAGTAAAGTACAGATACTTGAAAAATGTACTTAAGTACAGTAACGAAGTAAAACTACTCCGTTACTGTCCACCACTGACAACAGTATTTACCCATAACTCCTCGATTTGTAGATGATGACTGCTTTATCTTCACAGAAGGGATGTCTTTCACACCCATGAGTTTACACAGTTTTGTGAAGTCCTGCTCCAGATGTCCTGAACACTGGTAATCATCTAGTGTGCGCGATACAAAAACACACTGACATTCATTTGACTTTATGTGCGTTAGGGACTATCACACAGCATTTTAACTCCAACAAACAGCCTATCTTTGGACATGGCATATATTTTGGTTATTTAAAGATCACATGAAGCCAGAATCTAGTCTGTCTATCTGTCTTTACAGTCACATACCTGCGGTTTTAGGTGGTTCTTCGTCAGTCACAGAATCCGTCTTGTCCACTTTCTCCTTGGAGGATTTTTCAACTCGTTTTTTCATCTTTTAAGCGGAAAATTACCAACAGTTGGTTAAGCCTAAAACAAAACTAAATAATTAATATAAATGATTAATAATTATAATAAATATATAGTGAAGTAACTTTTTTTCAGCTTGTTGTCAGCGCAGGTTGTTTCGTTGCTATGCCAACAGCTCGCGCTGGCGTCACCTAGCGGATGGCGCCAAACAGAAAAATGACCATCGTGCCTGACACTCCAAAAAGGTCACCAGTACTAGATACAGCAAAAATAATGTCAAATAACTAATACAAAAAATGGACAAACTTACTTGAATTCATACAGTAATAAACTACCGAGACAGCAGGGTGGTTTAAAAAAAGATTTTCAGCTCCATCTGTTGAATCGTTACCTCTGTCACGCAGAAAATAAAATAAAAATATACATTTTGTATATCATACAAATACAGGTGCATTTCAATAAATTAGAATGTCGTGGAAAAGTTCATTTATTTCAGTAATTCAACTCAAATTGTGAAACTGGTGTATTAAATTCAGTGCACACAGACTGAAGTAGTTTAAGTCTTTGGTTCTTTTAATTGGGATGATTTTGGCTCACATTTAACAAAAACCCACCAATTCACTATCTCAACAAATTAGAATACTTCATAAGACCAATAAAAAACATTTTTAGTGAATTGTTGGCCTTCTGGAAAGTATGTTCATTTACTGTACATGTACTCAATACTTGGTTTGGCTCCTTTTGCATGAATTACTGCATCAGTGCGGCGTGGCATGGAGACAATCAGCCTGTGGCACTGCTGAGGTGGTATGGAAGCCCAGGTTGCTTTGATAACGGCCTTCAGGTCATCTGCATTGTTGGGTCTGGTGTCTCTCATCTTCCTCTTGACAATACCCCATAGATTCTCTATGGGGTTCAGGTCAGGCAAATCAGCATCTCCATAAAGCTTGTCAGCAGAAGCAAGCATGAAGTGAAAATTGAACACAATTTGAGTTGAATTACTGAAATAAATGAACTTTTCCACGACATTCTAATTTATTGAGATGCACCTGTATTAACTGCAGGAACTATTTTTCTGGAGGTGTAATTTGATAAGCTGTAAGATGAATTAGAGTAACGATTTAATAAATATTTTCATAAATACCCACACCTGTTTTTTTTTTTTTCTTCAAATTAATATATTTCTTCTGTCAGTACACAGTAATACGTCAAAAGGTTTGATAAAATTAGGAGACATGAAGAGATGATGGCACATACAAATTTTTTGATAATCTTGGATTAATTTCAAAGCAAAAATGTTTTTTTCAAAATAAATGGCAGATAAATGTTTCAAGAATTAGGAACGGAATCAGTCAATATATGTGAAAACATCAGTTATGTGTGGCATTAATTAGAGAGCATTAAACAATGGATTTATTTACTAAGTGTTTTTATTATATGTATTTGTTAGTTCAAATGATGGTACACAATATCAATGTGCTACGCAATAGTTAAAATTCACTTTATTTGAAGATGTAATGACTGTCCATACAGTTAAAATGTGAGTTGTCTGTATACCTGGAGTAATAACGGTTATGACCTAGTAAAGAACTGTTTCACAGACTCTCTGCTAAATGTATGAGCAACAGGCAAGTATATTCACAATAATGTAGTGCTTTTTATTAAAAAACAAACAAACAAACAAAACAAATAGAATATAAAACAAAAAAGTAAAAACCCAACAGCATTTTTCATGACTTTATAATTACAAACTTTGAACCAGAGTGGAAGAAGTTTCGACAAACTGTACACAACATCACAAAATGCCTGCCAGTCTGTCCATATACAATGCTTGCATCTTATTCTGTGATTGTCTAAAAATAACTAAACAAATCACACAAAAACACACAAATACAAGAAATACAAGCATTATATTTATGACTATCACAAAAAAACAGAACAATGTCCAATTCTCATTTGAAGAAAAAAAAAATGAAAAAAGGAGATTAAGAACATGATATTGGGTTGACAGCTTCTTTTTTTCTGCCAAAATATCATTTTACATTTTTATGTTGGCTTGTTTTTTTAGTGTTCAACACTTTGCAGCAAAAAACGAGGAACAATATATCTTTTTCTCCTCAAAATTAATAATAATAATTATAATAATGTTAATATTAATTATTACAGTGACGGGTGCCAGGTGTGGGGTCACTGCGACAAAGTCCATCAGACAATCCTCCCTCTCGCACTGAGCTCAATTCATGTTTCTGAGGAACAAACTTTCAGACGGTTTGTCGCTTGCGCAGGAAATTTGTTGCGATTATTAATCATAATATCTGCCGCTTTCTCGTCCACATCTCGTAATGTTAAATCTGACAGTTCTGTCAATACAAATCGCATAATAATCATAAGAATCGTAATAATAATAATACATATAGGGCTGAATCCTGTACAATACAATACACAAAATCCATTATCAAGATATTGCTTTTGGAGACATTTCTCACATTTTGCCGTCTGTTTATATACATAACTTGGCACTATACAATTTTCCTTTCGTTTGTCAGTTTTCATTGTTTTTTTGTATTTTCTTGTCGGTCCATCCAAGGGGTTTGAAATACTTATCTGTCATAGCTGATGCATTAAGAGCAAAACTCTCATCATGATTTTGTTTATAAACATTCTCCATGGCAAACATTAAAGGCCATTAAAAACAATAAAAGAAAACAACAACACTAAAACCTGGACCCGACCCCATCCCACCTGCCCTACAAGCCACTCACAAAAAATATGACATCACATGATACAATAAGTTCTTGTGAATTTAACTTGTTTATTAACTGCTGTCAAGCCCTTAGTTGTTTCCTCTTTCGTATTTATATTATTAGAATGGGCTCTCACACACACACATACACACACACACACACACACACAAACACCGTAAAGAATCTCACACACTACCATAAACAAAAAAAACGCTCAAGATAACGGCATTCTAAGGCGTTATATAAAGCCAGCGCACCTCCACAGCTAGATTTAGTTTTTTGTTGTTTTTTTGAGCTGGTGAATTAAATACTTTTTAAAAAGGGGTGGGGCTGGCAGCCATTCTAACCAATCACAATGGCCACAATAACAGAAGCGAAACATTCCAGCCCAGTCCCGAAGTCCCGAGCTCACAGATATGGATACCCCCCTCGTGCTCCATTCCTAATGTAATTAGAGTATAACAAAAAACAAACAGAAAAAGAAGGTAACATACTTATGTTTTGCTTTACCATACAGCATTGATCAATACTGCGTGAGTGTTAGTGTGTCTTATCCGTACATCTCCGGGAGCGAATGCTGTCCTTGTTGTTGTTAAAAGTGCAGTTAGCCAACGTTCTTTCTCAGGTCTCTACTTTCTCTCTTTTTCTCAGTCTATGGGCAGTGTGTGCGCTACACTGCACCTCCTATGATGCTTCTAATTCTTTTTTTTTGCCTCATTTTCTTTCTTGGCTGTACTCAAGTCATTCCCATTGTCGACCATAAGGTGGCGCCGGACTCCCATTTTTCCATTTGCACCTGAAACGAAGGCCAAATATAGTACCACTTAGTCATAGGACACATTTGACCAGTGAAGTCATAGTTCATCTGTAATAATTCGGTTATAATTTCAAAGCGTCGCCTTTTTTCTTCAGTTTAAACTTTCCTATGTCTGACACTTGTACTTTTTAAATGCATCAAGGTTGATGACTTGCAGCAAATTGCATGTCCTTAGTGCACGAAGCTCTGGCTGGTCTCTCTTGTAGCTCCTTTAGAAAAAGAAGCTGCAAGATATAAATATGAACGTGTCGTCTTTCACCGCTGCTTTCCCCCTTGTTGCCAGGTGTAGTCCACCTCTGCTCCTCCATTTTCATTATTCTCTTGCTGCTCTGCAGGCGTGCTCGGCAGAGTGTTGTCAGCATTACTTCCTGCAAATAAATTCGCTCAATCCAAGTGTCCGTCTGCGGAGGCGGCGACCAGAGCCTTCCTCCAGAAGATACGTCACATCTATCGCTGTAAGAGAGAGTTAAAGACATTGGTTTTCATCAAACTAGAGGCTACATTAGATTTGTAGTAGTGTGGGGCTACAAGAGCAGATTATGAATACACATGGTGTTTTTTTTTAAATGTATATAAAATAAGTGTTATTTATGAACTTATTGTGTTTTTTTTAATTAATCAAAACAAAACTGGTTAAATATTAAAATATTAAGTAATAATATTATAAATATTCTTAATAATTACATTAAACATTAATAATATTTCCCATCTAAACTGAAAAAACTAAAAATATCTTATATATATATATATATGAAAAACAAATGACTGATCGTGGTAACATTTATGGGTGAATCTAACAAAGACATGTACAGGTCAAATTTCAACCTAAAAAAAAGTAAACGAAAAAAATAAGACAACATCATATTTTGTAGTGTACTATAATGTAGTTATATTAAACTTTAAAACACAAAATAATAATACTGTTAATATTGATAATTAATTTAAAAGTAATATCATAATGAATATTAATGTGATGTAATATCATTAATATGAATAATAAAATTGTAAATTACAAATAAAATAACAAATTACTGACCATATTAACATTTATGGGTAACAGAAAGAAATGTCCAGGTCACATTTTTACCCCTACAAAAATCAGAATGAAAAAAAAAAGTATAAATTCTGTCATATAATTTAATACAGTTTGCATTAAATATTTCAGTGAATTTTCGATGAATGAATTCAATGAATTTCAATATTCCAGTGAATCATTTGAGAAACTTTAAGTTATTCTTTTAAGTCCTTTTCAAAGAAATCTTCCCATTTCAAAAGATCATTCAGTATTTGTGCTTGGAGCAACAAAGAAGAAATATTAGGTTATTGAACGCCCAAAATAAAGGCAACAGTAAAGAGGCTTTTACATTATTTAATTTAAGGAATTTAATTAGGTTGGAAGGAATGTAATATTACTAAAGCCTTTTGGTTAAATATTTTTTTTTCTCTTACCATTCTTGCTGGGCGCCCGGTGCAGCAGGTCGAGCAGAATCTTGTTCAGTCGCTCTCTCTGTGCTTCCCTTCTTCCCAGGATTGATGGATGAAGAGGTAAAGAGGAGAGTGAGGATAAGCATGGGGCGTCCAATACATCCCGCCCTCCTCCTCCCTTCTCTCGGGAGCCCTCATCCGTCTCTCTCCTCTCTACCCTCTCTCCACCCTCCTCTTCTTCGGCCATGTCTTCTTCCTCCCCACCTGTCCTCCTTTCCTGTGATGTGGATAGCTGGGATACAGGGGCGCTGGAGTCCTCCTGCGTGGTCTCCATCTCTCCCTCTGCTCCTCTCCCTCCGTCCTCGTCCCCATCTCTCGAGAAGCCAGCAGTCAGCCGATCACATGATGCGCTGGGGGAGGGCTCTTCATCACACGTTGATGCACCTTTGGGCCGCTCACTCTTCCAGGCAGAGCGGCCGCCATTCCTCTTGTAGTTATCCGGCACATAGTGAGGCTGTAGTCAGAGATAACATTTTTTAAAAGTAAGTGGAAGCAACTAGCATGAGTTAATTAGTTATGCGTCAACAATGAAAAAAGCAGACTTAATTTAATCAGATTTACAGACAGTCGATAACGCCACTTCCCATCCCATCTAAAACTGTCAAAATATGAATACAATAAAAAAAATGATGGGCTATAATTTATGGGTGACTCCCAAAAAGGAATGTCCAATTAAAATGTCAACCTTAAAAAGAAAATGAATAAAAAAATAATTGTACACACTCGCACACACACACATATACATTAATTAGAATAGTAATATTAAAACACAAAGTAACAACTATTAATATCAATAAATTTTAATAAATTATTTCCCATTTAAATCTGTAAAAATATGAATAAAATAAATTATTAGCTGAAACTCACAAAGAAATGTCTAGGTAAAAAAAAAACATCTGTAATGTAATATATCAAACTTTAAAAACAAAGTAACAAAAGAGTTCATATGAATAATAATTATTAATATTAATAGCATAATTTCCCAAGTAATAATGTAAAATATGAATACAAAAAATATATATATATTATTGTCAATAATTTGTTGTGGGTGAATCTCAGAAAAGAAACGGCTAGGTCAAATTTGACCCTCCAAGAAAACATTTTGTGATATAATGTAACACAGTTTATATTAAATATTAAAATGTGCACCATTAAAAGACCAAACATTTATTTTGTGACAATATAGCCATATTAAATAATAAAATATGTAATATTACACAAAACAATATAATTATTTATGTCTAATTAAAATAATAAATAATTAAAATATTTTTTATTATAATAAAAATCTTAATGGTTCTAAAAATCCTTCTTATTTTTGTTCACTTCTCTATCAGTTTTGTGAGATTCACAGCTTATACAATTACTCACTGAGAAATCCCTCTTCGGTGTCAGTCTCTTGGGGAAGTGGTTGAACGCATAGGGCTTGGTGCACACTGGGTACCGGTTGCGGTGGATCTTGTAGAACAGGTGTGCCGATTTATCCAGCCGGTAGTCACATATGTAAACGTCCTGTTCCTTTACCCCTTTTGGACGACCTGAATACATTAGCAAAAGCAGCAGGCATTAGCATGCAAAGTGTATGGGGTTTTCAGCAAGTAACATCTGGTTCAGTACATTTCTTGAATTTCACTGTTGATTTGTTTATGTAAAACTGTTGTATGTGTGAACGTCTCACCCTTGCAGTAAGTATACAGGTCCAATACACAGCACGTTCCCACCACCGCCTCCAGTGGTATGATCTCATAGAGAGGCACTCGGAACAACTCGTTATGATAGAAGCGACGGGAAGGAGAGTGGTGCGTCTCGTGGGGACGGAAGTAGTGATGACCAAAGGCAAACCTCTCACCTCTAAAGAGAGAAAAAGAGTCAAGAACAAATCTAAGGTCCATGCTTCTGTTGATTAACAGAACAAGCATTTACAATGACGATTTAGTCAAGCAAGACATATTCCTTTATAAACAATCCTACATCTACAACCAGAAGCTATTGACAGGAGGATAAGAACTTTGTTCAAGCCTTAGCCTAACCCTAACCTTTACGCTATAATCTGTTTGGATGATAGGAATGTTTTTCCAGGGTCAACAAGGATGTCAATGCTTAATTTTGAATTAAGAGTTTAGATAAAGAATTGAATAAGGAAGCATTTTAAAAATTGGGAGTGTGGTGACCCTCACTTTTCATTTTTCCAGAGTTTCTCGATACGGAAGATGTCCAGTTTGTCTCTGTTGATATGAGACAGGAGGCGGTATGACTGACGCACTGGCTGACCTTCTGTTGTGCGTCTGCTGTCTCTCATGAGGTACACACAGTCACCTGCAACAACCACATGCAAACATAAATAAACTTAAATATGCCGGCCAATCTGGAAACCATTTGAACCAAAATATTACAATATACACTACAGCTGGAGTCTGTAAGTTTTTTTTAAAAATGTCTCATGCTCACCGAGGCTGCATTTATTTGATCAAAAACACAGTAAAAACAGTAATATTATGGAATTTGTGGATTCTTTGAGGAACGGAATGCTCAAAAACAGACATTGTAATATTATAAATGTATTTTTTATCTATTTAATGTGTCCATGCTGAATAAAAGTATTAATTAAAAAAAATAAAATTTGACCCAAAACCTTTGAACAGTAGTGCAGATTTCATTTCACAAACACACACATGCACTTACCCTGATGCAATAGTAAGTCATCACGAAGCAGGCATATATAATAGATGGATCCTGACTGGGCATAGCTGGGTTGGGGCACCATTGGGACCTCCTGTTGAAACATGACAGGAAATGCATAAAAGACAAACACACACACACACACACAAACAGCTTTCAAGAGTTCCAAACTTCCTGAATGACAGAGGAGATCTTAATCCTGGGGTGACCTTTAAAATGTTGTGATAAAAGACCATATGGCCGGGCTAAACACAGTCAGAGAGGAAGAAATAATTGTAAAGTTACACAGACTGAAAGGTCACATACCCTGTCCACTGGACGAGGGTCACACAGCTCACAGAGATAATGCTCCACATCCGCCTCCAAACGCATACAATCACAGTGCTGCCACACCTGACCGACAGAACATTTTGGAGCACTTCATGCTTCCTTCTGCTGACCAGCTTTATGGAGATGCTGATTTCATTTTCCAGCAGGATTTGGCACCTGCCCACACTGCCAAAAGCACCAAAAGCTGGTTCAATGACCATGGTGTTACTGTGCTTGATTGGCCTGCAAACTCGCCTGACCTGAACCCCATAGAGAATCTATGGGGTATTGTCAAGAGGAAGATTAGAGACACCAGACCTAACAATGCAGATGACCTGAAGGCCGTTATCAAAGCAACCTGGGCTTCCATACCACCTCAGCAGTGCCACAGGCTGATTGTCTCCATGCCACGCCGCACTGATGCAGTAATTCATGCAAAAGGAGGCCCAACCAAGTATTGAGTACATGTACAGTAAATGAACATACTTTCCAGAAGGCCAACAATTCACTAAAAATGTTTTTTTTATTGGTCTTATGAAGTATTCTAATTGGTTGAGATAGTGAATTGGTGGGTTTTTGTTAAATGTGAGCCAAAATCATCCCAATTAAAAGAACCAAAGACTTAAACTACTTCAGTCTGTGTGCATAGAATTGATTTAATACACGAGTTTCACAATTTGAGTTGAATTACTGAAATAAATGAACTTTTCCACGACATTCTAATTTATTGAGATGCACCTGTATATACATTTTTTTTTTAATAAACCCATTTAGAAATATTAAAGAAAGCACATAAACTGATGTAAATAAGTTCAGGTTGACGTACTAAAATTACTAAAAAATAATAATAATAAAAAATGTAATAAAGCTATTTAGAAATATTAAAGAAAAAAAATAAATAAAAATGATAAAAGCACATAGCAAACTCACTAAAACGTAAACTAAACTGAAAATATAAAAACAAACGCCAAGTCAAAATATGAATGCATCCTATAATAGTATAGAAATAATAATAAACTAAAATTAATATTAGCATATCTTGCCTAATAGAAAAAATATTGTCTGCCTGTCTTCATAAAATACCTGTAGACTACAGATTAAAAAAGATATGGAGCTTTTCACATTTTCTAAAGAAAATACAAGTGTTGTTGGTCTGTGGAAAATTTGCTGCAGTAAAGCTAGGTTGTTGTAGCTGGTCGCCAGCGTTGCTAAGGTGTTCTGAATGGTATTAAGGGTGTCGTAGGTGGTTGCAATGATGTTGCTAAGGTGTTCTGAGTGTTATTTAGGGTGTTGCTATGCAGTTAGTAGGCTGTTGATGTTTTTGGTTGCCAGGGTGTTGTGAAGGTGTTCTAAATGGTATTTAATGTGTTGCTATGCAGTTTGAGGGTGTTGCTAAGGTGTTCTGAGTGGTATTTAGGGTGTTGCTATGCAGTTAATAGGCTGTTGACGTTTTTGGTTGCCAGGGTGTTGCTAAGGTGTTCTGAGTGGTATTTAGGGTGTTGCTATTAGGGCTGAACGATTAATTGCATTTGCGATATCGCGATATGAAATAACGCGATTTTTCAATCGCAGAGGCTGCGATTACACGGTCACGTGACACGCAAGAGTAAAGAGGGGTGTTCGAATTGAAGATCAGATCGGTGTATGACATCAAAGTACGGCGAGAGAAAGCATAAGGAGACGTCCGCGCTCTCTTATAGCTCTCGCAGTACTTTGATTACACACACCCATCGGTCTAAGCAGCGCTGCTTCAAGTCGAGCGCGGGCCATCAGCAGAAAAAGAAAATAAATAAAACAGTAAAGGACGTAATTAGAATGGGAGATGGATTGGTTTGTGAAAGTGAAGAGAAAAGCCATAGATGAAGTTGCACAGACCCAGGCAGGTGCTGGTCATCCAAAAGCTAAATGCAGAAAATATGACGAGGCATATCTTGCTCTCGGCTTCACTCACTGTGTCTATACGAGACGTTACAGTTGTCGCATCGCGCCGTAACAGCTTTACACTGGACGCAACAAAGCAACCGTTGCAAATCATTTTAACTTTGTGTCAGTA